GATGTTACTGTGTTCGTGGGCCCCTTCTGCACTTACCAACAACTTCATTTCGGCCTTTGTCCTGGGCCTCCAATTGGGCTTCACTTTTTGGGCTATCTAATTTGGGCTGTATTTTTAGTGTGTCAATAGGAATAATTGAACTAGTAGTTCGATAGTAATTCTAGTGAGAACGATAATTCGGACTCACATGTTCACCATATTATTTGTTACGATTCATAAACCCGTGGGATATAAAATCAAAAATAGTTAACTAAGTTACTTGTGGCCTCGTATGGTTGCCAGTGAACTCCATACTTACAAAATTGATGTGGAAAAATCGTACTTCATAAAAATGTACACAAATTTAACATAGTGTCATAGTATTTTATTTGAACGCCTAAAATGTTGTTAAATTTCAAATTATTTGAGATGTATATTTTGAAGAATCGAGTAAACTGTTAAAGGTTCTTAACATGTATAATGACATTTTATATGTTCAATCATTTATTATTCTATGATGTTCACTTTTCTCTACAAAATTTTAAATAAACTTAATATCTTATGCAAAGGTTGATATTAATTTTGTGCAATTCAAATTCAAACCTCACTTTTTTTTTTATTATTTATACGAGACATAACTGATCTCTTATCCATAGCTAGCAGAAAATATGTCATCCACAAATGATGTGGCAACATGTGGTGTTATCATATCACCGGTATTTTAAAAATCGTCAGTAATGTTGCCACATCATCAGTGAACAATATATTTCGTGTGTTACTATGGGCACGAGATCAGTTTTGTTACATAAGGTTATAATTTATCAAACATTCATTATCAATGTTTCTTTAGCATAAAAATTCTGGTCAAAATTAGTTCTATCATGGGAGATATTTAACATTGACCAGTAGGAAAAGAAAAAAATTGTCTTAAAAGGACATCATGAATTCGATTTCGATTTCTTTTTGTGATTACTTCTTCGTATTTGTAAAACAAATTACTTTTATTCTTTAATGATTATTGGTATGTGTTGACATACAAATATGAGGCCCAATTAAATGGTCCAAGAAATGAGGTTCAGTTAGGGAATTTGAGGGATATGTCCAAATGAGACCATTGTAAATTATAGTTGAGGTCCATAAACGGAGGACTATCATCGCCCAAGCCTGCAGGACGCCCAGGATCAGAGCGAATGAAGTACCTTATTGTCGCTCAGAGTGACAGTCTCATTCTCACTCAAACTTTTGAAATGCTCAAGATCTAAGCGAACATAGCGTCCCGTTGTTATTTAAAGCGGCAATTATTGAAGCAGTTATTGAACAATTTTATCATGTTCCACAATCCAAGAATCTCGGTTGCAAGCAGTTAAATGGGAACAATAGCAGCAGTTTAAAAATGGCGGTTTCTCAACACGTCAGTCATTATGAAGCAAGTAGATAGTTATATAGCGACAGCAGTTTCCAAATGGTTTTGCAAGAAAAATTGGCAAATGAGTATAAGAGAAAAAAGAAGACATAGAAGGAAAGATTACGAATCAATCACTCTCAAATAGAGAATTATGTAATTTCATTTCTTTTAGTTCTTATAATCAACTTTTAAATTAATTTGTGTGCTTGTGCCCCTTGGAGGCGTTTTGCTTCTTTTTCATTGTAATCTTCATAAATAAAGCACTTCTCATTGGGGCTTTATCTCGAGAAGTTTGTTCCTTACACAATCGTCTGAACCATCTTTTAATTATTGGCGAGACTGGATAATCCGCGCGAAGCAGTATGATTTTTTACATTGCAGTGTAATTTCCAATTATCTTATGATAAACAATTTATGAAAGAAAAATGTTCAAATAAAGGGCACTCTTTATTTTTTATTATTTTGAATTTTTTGCTACTATTAAAAACTAAAATTTCCATGCAAAATAAGCTCTTAATGGAGTGCCATTCACGCGCTCTATTAATGCCTATGGTAGTCACCTGATAACGCCAAGAATTGGTGGCTGGTAGTGACGGTGATTGGTGGCCACCGCACCTCTCGGCCACCACCATGATCTATAGGTTACCAAAAGTACCCTTACTGTCAAATGACTTTCGTCTCCATAGATAAATTTGTTGGGTGAGTAGGTAACTGGGACCCACCTCTAAATACTTTTGTTAAAGAGGAACGAATTTCATACGGGCGGATGATGTAGGCCACTACCCACAACGGCAGATTGAAATTTCCTGATCTTTTTCCTATCTTTATAATACATAATAATTGCCACATAAGTTAGAATAAATAAATAAAAAATAATATAATAGACACACGCAATTGCACGTTGAGATTATAAAATTTGGCACTAAAGTTAACCACATCAAACAATGATCGAGTTAACTTTGTGCTTCTGCGGCCAAGCTTGGTTTCCAACTTTTATAAGAACACTCAACTCATTTACGATTACGAGTTGGACTCAAATGCGACGATGCAAAATATAGGGACGGATATAGAACTTCATGCTGACTAGATTGAAATTAAGAAAGTCAATCTGTATTTTGGATTGGGACTTTGCGGGTTATTTTCATAGCGGATGACTGCAGTAGTCATCATACGTGATATCTTATATAGCATAGCATTATTAAAAATTATTTCTTTTGTAAATTATTAAAATTATGCCACATAAGATGTAACGTAAAAAGATTATTGCAATAGTTGAGTATGAGTAGCACTATGCCACTTGAGATAACATATAAGGGTACGTTTGATGTACATTTTTTAAGGATATTTTTTATGAAAAATGATTTTTTCGATAGTGTGATGTTTAAAAGCAGTAAAATGTTATGAATTCACGCGTAAAATTATTTTATTCAAAAATTGTATAATTGAAAATGAATTAAAGAAAAGAAAGAGTTTTAAAGAATTTGTATAAAAAAA